TGGCCACACCGAGGCGGCGGGCTGGGCCAGACCGCGGGGTCCCGTGTCCTGGCGCTGCCGGCCGTCCTGTGCTCGGTGAAACGGGATTTGTCTGCCGACGGTCCACGCTGTCTGCTACAAATGCGGGGCTGGACCGATGTCAGCGTGGGTTCTCCTTGATGCCGGGGGTGGACTTGAACAGGAGTCTTGCGGAGTGGACTTGATGAAGCTCGCAGCACACGTGATCCTTTGGTGCAACGCCGCCTAGTTTGTATTTGGTGAAGCTTTATTACTGCAATGCCACGACTCTAAGCCAGTGTCACTGCTGCACCTGGAGCCGGACGCAGTGTGTGCGCGCGCGTGGACGGTCAGTGGGGTGTGGCGCCGCTGCCGAGTGAGCCGCGCTGTGAGGCTGACTCCCGGCGGCGCCCGGTCCCGCCAGAGCCAACTGCGGTCGGGGAGCAGGCGGCGCAGGACGAGACGACGTCCACCACCGAGCCGCCGGCCAAACGCCCCCACAAGGACTTCTCCATCTACAAGACGCCCTCCGGTCAGCGAGCGGAAGGGGGAGAAAGAGAGAGAGGGGGAGGGGGCGATGGTCGCATGCCGTTACTGACCACCGCACAGACAGTGTTCACCATGTCCTTGCCCATTTGCCTTGTTTGGCTCGCACGCGGTCTGATAACCTTTCCTGAACAAAACTTCCAGCTGAACACTCCCGAATGCGTACGCATCATGAGAGGTGCAGTGACATCCGCAGGATTGTGTTCGTGCCTTGGCCCATGAAAACAATACAGTCATTAGCCTAAACCTTCACAATGATCTACCCAATTTTTTTCTAACGGCTGCTCAGAGATGGCATGTGGCACGGAATAGTCCATGTACTTGGCTGATGACATTCATATGTACGTTTCTTCAGTATTTGTGCCCCGCTGACGCCGTTTCTCGGTCACCTCAGGGAAATTCTACTGCCTGCCCTGCAATCTGACCATGAACTCGGAGACCCAGTTCGCGCAGCACTTCGAGAGCAAAAAGCATAAGTCCGAGGTGGCTAAGCAGCGCAGCACCGTCCGCTCCGCCTACTAACGGGCCGCGCCGCCGCCAGGGTGAGTGAGGGGCCGCGGAGAGAGGGGGGGGGGGGCAGCCCGGGGATTCGAGGGAGCACGTGAAAGGAGGGGTCATCCCGGGGGATTCGAGGGAGCACGTGGAAGGAGGGGTCACCCCTGGGGATTCGAGGGAGCACGTGGAAGGAGGGGGTCACCCCTGGGGATCCGAGGGAGCACGTGGAAGGAGGGATCACCCCTGGGGATTCGATGGAGCACGTGGAAGGAGGGGTCACCCCTGGGGATCCGAGGGAGCACGTGGAAGGGGGGGGTCACCCTTGGGGATTCGAGGGAGCACGTGGAAGGAGGGGTCACCCCTGGGGATCCGAGGGAGCACGTGGAAGGAGGGGTCACCCCTGGGGATCCGAGGGAGCACGTGGAAGGAGGGGTCACCCCTGGGGATCCGAGGGAGCACGTGGAAGGAGGGGTCCACCCTTGGGGATCCGAGGGAGCACGTGGAAGGAGGGATCACCCCTGGGGATCCGAGGGAGCACGTGGAAGGAGGGGTCACCCCTGGGGATTCGAGGGAGCACGTGGAAGGGGGGTCACCCTTGGGGATTCGAGGGAGCACGTGAAGGAGGGGTCACCCCTGGGGATTCGAGGGAGCACGTGGAAGGGGGGTCACCCTTGGGGATCCGAGGGAGCACGTGGAAGGAGGGGTCACCCCTGGGGATTCGAGGGAGCACGTGGAAGGGGGGTCACCCTTGGGGATTCGAGGGAGCACGTGGAAGGCGGGAGCAGTTTGGGCTCGGAGCAGCCGCTTGTGTCGCTCGGGTGTTTCGAGCTGAGAATGTTCTGATCGCCATTTCGATGTTGGGGTAGCTTCCTGCTCTGCTTGCGTCAGTGTTCGCCTCTGCCTCAGCGCGGGCCCGTTGTTCGCCATGCTTTTGGCCGAATGGAGACGCTTGTCCCAGCGTTTGGCTGTGGGGAAGAGATGTGAGCCCACGTCACCCACGTCACCAGAAGTCATTGTCGTTTTCGGGTCAAACGAAGCGCAAAGCAGACTTTCAGTTTGGTATTCACATCGTTCAAAGGCTGTCAGTGGGTCAGAAATGTTGGCGGAAAATGTTCAGCGGTGTGCCTACGTCCGGGTCAATGACTTCAATCATGTGCACTTGGTGCCTCTCGGAAAAATCCCGTGAGTACGTCTGCATCATATGACGGGGGATCAGAGCGTCCGTTCTTTGTTGCAGTGGTCTCGGCCTAATCAAGACTGGTGCTTGTCGCCTCTCGACGAGGCCGTTCCAACCCACGCCCGCCGCGGGCCTGAGCGCTCCGCGCAGGGGCGGCGGTGTTGGAGCGGCGAGGGCCACGCAGTGTGTGCCGACTCGCCGCGGGCCAATCAGGGTGGTGGCATTGCGCGCGAGCGACGGATTGACCAATCGGAGATCAAGGCCCAGTTGGCGATCCAGTCGGAGTGGTGAAAAAACGGCGTTCCGACCATCACACGCTGCCAGATGAGGCCCGGCAGTATTGCTCAGCTGGTGCGTAGTCTGCCGTCTACGCACGCAGGACTTGCAGGGCTGTCGCGTTGAAATGAATCAAAAGATAATTCGTGCACGTGTCGGTGAGGCCTCCCGGCGTCAGGACGTGGCGGCCGAGACGTGATATGTGCAGCTTTTAATGAGTAGCGAGCAGTTCCTATCTGGTCAAGATACACGCGCTTCTGTTGCTGTGTCGCTGATGTTTTCAGGGCAAGGTGTGGATGTCTTTCTTCGTCAGGGTTCGGGACCGACTTTGAGCTTATGGCAATTTGTTAGGCTGTTACTCGTTCATTTCTGCATGTTTCTGCTGATGTTGGTGATATTGGTGAGCAGATGTTAGTTTCTTGTCGCTGAGCTCAGATTTATTTGCGGAATGTGTTAATGTCCATAGGTACGTGTGGACCAGCCCACACGGTTGGCGCCGTGCACTGTTGGCTCAGCGCACAGGTGCGCTGTGTTGGTGTGTGGACGAGGGTGTGGCCGATTGTGAGGACGTGTACCTCGGGCTGTAAGATGTGGAGCTCGGTTCTTGGCTGCTGGATTGGGCGAGACAATGTCAGCCCAGAACCCTGAGCCGAGCTCCACTCAGGACTCGAGTCTCAGCCATTACCTACCGTAGCGTTCAGCCGAGCGGCGGCTGCTGTGGTGCACGCACGACGCTCCTCGCCGAGCAGTCCGGGGGTAGGCCGGCCGCCGGGCGCTGCTCAGAGTCCACCCAATCAGAGACGCCTCACGGCTGTGTAGTGGTCAGCTGGGGGGGGGGGGGGGGGGGGGCACGCCGTCCGAGGGCCGCGGCGCCAGCACCCGCACCGGTGTCTGTCAGGAGCCGACGTGATCGCCCGCACCCCGCACGCTCGCACGCACAGTCGTACACGCGCGCGATGCGTGGCTCGCGCTCAAGTCGCGGCCGGCCGCCGGTCGGGCTCTGTCCAGAGGCTGACCGTCAGCACATCTCGTGGACGAGGCGGCCGCCGATGAAGAGAGTGTGAGCGTGTGATCAGCCGCCGGTGCAGAGAGTGTGAGCGTGCGATCGGCCGCTGGTGTGGGGGTATGAACGTGTGATCAGCCGCCAGTGCAGAGGGTGTGAGCGTGTGGTGGGCCACCGGTGTGGGGTATGGGCGTGTGATCGGCCGCCGGTGTGGGATATGAGCGTGTGATCAGCCACTGGTGTGGAGCGTATGAGCATGTGATCGGCCGCCGGTGCAGAGAGTGTGAGCGTGTGGTCGGCCGCCGGTGCAGAGAGTGTGAGCGTGTGGTGGACTACCGGTGTGGAGTATGAGCGTGTGATCGGCCGCCGGTGCAGGGAGTGTGAGCGTGTGATCGGCCGCCGGTGCGGAGAGTGTGAGCGTGTGGTCGGCCGCCGGTGCGGAGAGTGTGAGCGTGTGGCCGGCCGCCGGTGCGGAGAGATTGGGCGTGTAATGGGCCGCCGGTGCAGGCAATCCCTGTCCGCTGCGGTGTTGTACCGCCCGTGGTCTGTGCATCGATGTAGCGACACGAGCTCATGTCTGTCAAGAGGCCGGCCCCAGGGTGAGGCCGGTTGACACGTGCGGGCACGGGTCCGGTAGGGCCCCTACCGCATACACTGTTGGATGGACAGCGGACACGAACCGCCGGCTTGTCGGCTCGAGCTGTGACTGACGGTGGGTGCCCGTTGGGCCCCGGAGGGGAGGGGGGGGGGGGGGGGGCGGAGGGCGCTACACCTGCCCCAGCCGTTATCCGATTTTCACGGTACTGAGCGGATGGGTGTGTGTGGGCGGGCGGACGTCACGTGACGCTGCATCCGAGTACAGGTCTTTCTAGCCGGCCGGCGGTGGCGGCGAGGCACGAGCCCGCACGCGCCGCGCTGTGCACCGCCGTCGTCGGTCGGCCAGCTCACTGGTGCACCTGGGCGCCGTCAGTCGCAATACACGTGAGTGACAGCTGGCGGTCGGGCTGGCTGCGCGACAACCGGATGTGAGCGGACGTGGGCGGACGTGGGCCTGTCTGTGTGAGCTGCTGTCTGGCGCGGCGAAGCTGCAGCACAGTCACGTGCTGACGACGAATTCCAGTTTCAGTTGGATCTCGAGTTCATGGATCAGGTTATCGCCACTTTTGCCCTGCGCAGAAACGTAACAGCAAAATTATGTGGGCTTTGATACAAGCCAGCGGTCCTTTGTATCCCCGATTGTTGAAAGGTCTTGTGGTCGGATCCCCCATCCTGCAGTTGCGCAGGGGTGATGCACGCAGTCACCGGTTTTTGGCATTTCGCTCCACATGAGCTTTAAGATAAGGCGGTGCAATTTAACTTTAAGAGCTGGCATTCGTATTGGGATTCCAATGCACAATCAAGATCAGTTGCAACTTTCAAATTGAAATATGACATTACGTAAGTTTTTAGTGCATTTGCGAGGAACATACGCATAGATAAAGCAGCAGTATAGATAAGACAGTGGTGGTAGCGTTATTCCTCGGAGGAAAACCAGGAGAATGGAGCTATCGTACAAAGCTGTTACTACTGCGTTACCTACGTTATGACGTTTTGTTCATTGACTGATGATGTGACCATTGCACGAGGGTTACTCGTGCCGTGTCAGTCGTTAAGTGTCTGCGAAAGATGCACGCAAACGCAACACGTTCAAAGGCGTGCATTCATGACAATCTAAGCCACTTGTCGAAAAGTCAATTGACACTGAACAGCAGTGCGGCACGGCATACGCAGTGTTCTTGACACGTCCAGTATGTGACGCTTCAGTCTCCAGACATCGGCACGGACAGGCCGGCGAAGTCTGGTGAGGGCGTGTTGTGAGAAAGGCGGACGTAAAAGACAAACTCACTTTCGCCAGCCTCAAGACCACGAGTAGGTCACCGGCCGAGCACGTGGTCCTAACAGATGCTGCTCACAAGATCTTGTCGTTCGCTGCCGGCGCAGCACAGCGTGGCGTATTTTGTTGAGCGGTCGGAATCCGGTGGTCGAACGTGCCCTGAGGAGTCAGCGTACCCGGGCACCTCGCACGGCGAGAGCTGCTCAAATGTCTGCATTCCAGATATGAAACGTGTAGCAGTGTATTATGTCTGAAAGACTGCCATGTGTTGAACCGAACAGTCGCCATTCACGGCTAGGCAGCAACGAACGCGTGGCAGAAGACGGATGCGGGAGGGACGCTGGAATACCGCAACGTTTTTCTGCAGCTCTGATAGCAATACTCGCCGCTGCATTCACAGACGCCGGAGGCATAGTGATTCGAGTAACTGGATCAGTACAACGCGGGTGGGTATGCAAACGATGCCCAGCAAGGACTGTGAAAACAAAGCTAATGTGACCGTGCCTGTTACTCACTAGACTGGTCGGCATCGAACGAGCGGTGGTACGTCATTAAACCTAAGCACACACACGGATGTAGGACAGGCGGTGCAAAGGCAACATGCATGGCAATGTGCCGGCCAACCGTTTCGAAACAGCATGTAATAGCAATTCCTACAATGTGACAAATTTGCAGACACGTCGGTCAGTCACTGTGGAAAATAGAAACAACATGCAGAAATTGTGTAAGCCTGCATTACTGCGGTCCAAAATCAGCTTAATTTATGCATATGCTGTGCGCAGGCGAATGCGGAGACTGTAGGCAGCACCAGAGGAATTTTGTATTTCAATGAACCTAGGCAGTGCAATTCAAAATTGTTTGTCTCAGCTGCTGCATGCGTGATTGTGCTACATTACAACGAGCGAAACGCGAACACAGAATTTTGCCAACACTCTTTTTTGACATTCATTAGCAGTTCCCACCTCCACTGCTAACATGCCGTGAGTCATTTCGTATTTCCCGTTTTCTTCTGACGACGCTGAGCTGGAGGCTATGGTTGGCACTTGGACATATCTGGTGCGAGCCGGCAGGGCACCACCCCGCTGAAGTTAACTGCAATGAAGCAAATACGGCACAGTGGGCGTGACAATGATACGAGGCTGTTGCGTCAGCGTTTCTCTTTTTTTGGAACAACACTGCAACAGTCTTGTGTTGAACTAGATGCGTATGTTTCGTGTTCTTTTTGTAGAGCAAAAATGATTTAAAACATTAAAAGCGGCTTCAAATAACGTACCCAGCGAGCGTTAACACGCGCCCGGGCGGCCGACTAGATACCCTTTGATCGGGTTGGGGGTCAATTTGACCCCCCTAAGATCTCGGGAACTAAGAAAACTAAAGACACCAAATTTATCGGGTGTCTTGACCTGTACGTGAACTCCCTCAGGTCAAAGTTGAAGTTTCCTAGGCCATGACCTTCAGGCCAAACAAGGTCAAACAAGGCCAAGTTCCAGGATGGTCTCTAAAGTGTCCCCAGAACGTAAATAACCGTTTTTAGAGCAAAAGGTCACGTTCTCATTTAAGATCCGTGAACTTGTTTGACCTTTTGAAGGTCAAGGTGACCAAAATCATACAAGACTGCTCTGAGTTTTGCATTTTAATAAGCAACAAAGATTCCGCTAGGCAATATGTTCCTAAAACAAAGTGTCGGCCCGGGCCATCTTGGGCAGTGACCTGTTCTGACCTCTAAAAAGTCAATGAAAGATCTATAATGCGGTTCCTGCTATCAAAATGTTCGAAATGAGCACCACAAACTATTCCATACAGCAAGCCCTAAAGTAATAAGTCAGGCTAGTTTTTGACCCTGGTCTAACCTTCATACCTGACCTTAGGTCAACATAATTTGCTCATTCAATATTTTTGGCGCCTAAGAAAGTATCTCAGAGATGTATGGCTTCGTCAAACACTTCCGTTATTGTATCAGATAGGACGATTCCCGAGAAATTGCCTTCGCTGAAGCCATGGCCTGACTTTGACCCGCCTATAGGTCAGCGACAATACAAGGTACAAATTTTTATGTCAAATGATCCGCTATTCAATTTTCTACAGTAATGCAAAAATTTGGCGCGGCTACGCCCCGCCGTTCATAAACCATTCTAGAAAAACCTTTGGGGCGGTCAATTTGATCCCCCACCCGAGCGCGTGTTAGATAATTTTACACCCTACATCTTTCAAGAGGCAGTTTCGTCAATCGACACAATGGTCATTCTTTTATGTCAACTTGCGCAACAAATGCATAAAATTTGAGTGTTCGTCTCAACTGAAGCAGTATTCCTTACAGCCGTGGGTATTCTTGCTAAAGCCAAGCGTGAAAATAAAAAACAATCATTTGCCAATCATAATGGATCCTCTTTTAATTCTGGTGCAGTGTTTAGTCCTAAAAAAGCGTTTCATCCCCGGCTTCAGCAATATAAAAGGTAGCAAAGAACCAAGCGTGATGGCTTCTAACATAACTCGTATTTTGTTACCCGCAACCGTCAGCGGGTTCAAAATGCAACCTTCTCTGAGTTTTGCGAGCAGCACTGATCCCTTGCCAGTTAAGTTCACAAAATAATTTGCATCACAAATGTGATCATGTTTACACATTGTCACATTGCAGCGTTGTGCGTCTAATCTGACCCAACGTTTGATTTGTGCATCCAATTTGACTCAACAACATTGACACATTTTCAGAGAGTGCAGTTTTTGCCCGCACATGCAGCAACAAGCGTTGTCCTGTATGTTTTTTTAAGGATTATTCCGGTGTAAATCATTGACTGGCTTGACTGTCCTCAATCGAATGCTGGTCACACCTAACCATGTCACGCCAGGTTACCGTTGGTGATCATGTTAGGTCACTTTAGATGTTGATATTCTGTCCAACATAAGCAGGAAGAATATGCAAATAATGTCTTTGGCCTTCACGTGGCACAGGGCTAAGTACGTATCGATATATATATATATATATATATATATATATATATATATATATATATATACATATAGTTTTTCTTAGTAAGGATGATTATTTGACCCGACCATTATTACATTAGGTTTTTTGCATTAGGCACAGAGATTTAAAGCGGCAGGGATTTTTCAAACCTTGGCACAGCCGCGGGCAGCGAAAACACCCCAGACCGTGTCGGCGTGGGCTGTACACGGTCTGAGGCTCACTCACATGGCGCTGAGCAGGCAACTAGGGGACATAACCAGGTACCATTGCCACAGTTACACGTGTTGCAGCCGGCGACGCCCGTCTCGTTGACAGCGCAGGTCAATGTTACCGCTGAAACAGGGGTTATTGGTCACCACGATCCGCTGCTTCATGTGTAGTCAGTGCAAAAATACATAGTCGTTCTGTCTCGTTTCTAACATTGCCTTGTATGTCACGCAAAAAAAACAAGTGACAAGACATGTTTATAATCATTGGGAGGGGGAGGGGGGGGGGCATACCACCAACGTGGCAAAGTCTTGTATGTGCTTGGAGATACAGCGTTCCTCAACACGTCGAAAGTACTTTGGTTTGAGCGAGTACGGGTGGCGTGACGCATGAAGAGAGAGAGAGAGAGAGAGAGAGAGAGAGAGAGAGAGAGAGAGAGAGAGAGAGAGAGAGAGAGAGAGAGAGAGAGAGAGAGAGAGAGAGAGAGAGAGAGAGAGAGAGAGAGAGAGAGAGAGAGAGAGAGAGAGAGAGAGAGAGAGAGAGAGAGAGAGAGAGAGAGAGAGAGAGAGAGAGAGAGAGAGAGAGAGAGAGAGAGAGAGAGAGAGAGAGAGAGAGAGAGGAGAGAGAGAGAGAGAGAGAGAGAGAGAGAGAGAGAGAGAGAGAGAGAGAGAGAGAGAGAGAGAGAGAGAGAGAGAGAGAGAGAGAGAGAGAGAGAGAGAGAGAGAGAGAGAGAGAGAGAGAGAGAGAGAGAGAGAGAGAGAGAGAGAGAGAGAGAGAGAGAGAGAGAGAGAGAGAGAGAGAGAGGAGAGAGAGAGAGAGAGAGAGAGAGAGAGAGAGAGAGAGAGAGAGAGAGAGAGAGAGAGAGAGAGAGAGAGAGAGAGAGAGAGAGAGAGAGAGAGAGAGAGAGAGAGAGAGAGAGAGAGAGAGAGAGAGAGAGAGAGAGAGAGAGAGAGAGAGAGAGAGAGAGAGAGAGAGAGAGAGAGAGAGAGAGAGAGAGAG